TCCATGGCATGAGGAGGAAACCCCAGCTTCCTCACCTGTGAAATGGGGAGTGAAGAAGCCTCTGTGCAGGGCAGTCAGAGGAATCAGTGAGTCAGAGCTTGTCGAAGCATTCAGCACTGTGCCTGATATGTGGCAGGAATGCCGGATGTGCCACTCCCAACCCTGCATTACCTGGCTGCGAGGCCGTACAGGTCCAGCAGGGGTTTGCAGAGCCTCTTCAGTGCCCTTGAGAACATGGCCTCAGCCCAGGACAGCATCTGTTGGACCACCTGGAGAGGGAGGGAACAGTGAGAGCTTTCTCAGTCATTAAGTGCCAGCCACGCCCCATCCTTGCTCTCACTTACCAGTTCCAGGGCACCTTTCACAGCCCCCAGGGCCACCCTGATGGGCCTGGAACCCCATTGCCTGGCATCCCAGGCACCCAGTCCCGCAGCTGCCACATGGCTTCCTCAGGCCCCTCCCACCACACCTCCTTGAGGGGCCACAGCATCACCTCCAGGTAGGCGTCCTTCAGTGTGGTCAGGGGCTGTGCAACGGGCAGCCACCCCCCACCATGACGCCTCTGGGCAGCTCAGAGGCCCAGCCCAGGCAGCAAGGAGATAGGGCCTGTTCCTGGGAATAAGATGGTGGGGGAGGAGGGACAAAGAACAGAGCAATGGGCACTGGAGAATGCAGACGAGTTGTCACAGCAGACCTGAGCCGCCTCTGCAAGGCCTGCTCATAGGTTGTCTGGGAACTTGGATTTGGGGAGGGTTCCCACCAGTCCTAGAAGTGATCTGAGGCTTTCTGCACCTGAACTGTTTGCACAAACGTGGTTTATGCTGGACACCTGCTTGCCTCCTAGGAGTCTGACAGTGTGGTCTGCACCAAGCAGCTCCTGCAAATGTGGCAGCCCCCACTAAACACCCTGGGTGACATAGTGCTGGGACAGCCAAGTGCATCCCATGTGAAGGCACTGGGACTGGGAAAGGACACTGGGTGCTGGCCCTGGTTCCCCCTGGACTCCACGCCGGCCCCCTTCCCTGCACCGACACTCCTGCCTCCTCTGGCTGTAGTCAATCACAGCCTCGAACAGCACAGTGTGCCGAGTCCTGGAACACTCCTCCCAGTTCACTGCCCTCTGGGTGGCCATGAGACTCTGGCACAGCAGAGAGGATGTGAAGGTGACATTCAACAGCCAGTCAGAGGGACGCCCACACTGGCGCTGGGCAGGGTCTTAGCCCCAGATGGTGGAGAGGCCACAAGTTCCTCGTCCTGCCAGGGCAGTTGGGGCAGACACTGTGAGCGTTTGATGACCACGTGCCCACAGAGAGCTCATTGTGGAATGAGAAAGAGACCCTGTGGCAGTGACCTTCACAGAAACAAGGCTGTACACTCAAAAGAAAGCAGGTGGAAGACTGGAGAAACCTAGGCAGCAGGTGTAAGGGATGTTAGCTTGGGAGACCCTCTAAGAATGAGACAGCAGACCACGAAAAAAAGAAGGTTGGGCCAGGCGTGGTGGCTCCAACTTATAATCCCAGCATTTTGGGAGGCTGAGGCAGGTGGATCCTGAGGTCAAGAGATCAAGACCATCCTGGCCAACATGGTGAAACCAATCTCTACTAAATATTCAAAAATTAGCCAGGCATTGTGGTGCATGCCAGTAGTCCCAGCTACATGGGAGGCTGAGGCAGGGCAGGAGAATTGCTTGAACACGGGAGGCAGAGGTTGCAGTGAGCCAAGGTCATGCCACTGTGCTCCAGCCTGGTGACAGTGAGACTCCATCTCAAAAAAAAAAAAAAAAAAAAAAACACAAACACACACACACACCACCATTTGCAGGACTGGATGTGAAAAGGGACAAAAAAAATGTACAAGGTGAAATGTGTGCTGTAGAAGAACCACCATCTGTTCAGCTGCTGAGCACACCATCATTCCTAACTCAGCAAAAGAACCCACCCGTCTTGAAAAACTACAAGTGAAACACTGTTTCCAAAATGCATTTTTATGGTTGGAAATCTGTTTTTCCCAAGCCCTCCTTCCAGTCCTTGGCACTGTGACAAGTGTTCCTCACCCCTGGGGACGTGGGGCTGGAGATGCAAAAGGGAAAGTCACCAAGGCTGAGTTTCAGCTGCCTGCATCCTTGCAGCCAGGGCCAGGGAGCCATGAAAGGTTCCCTAGCTCCCACTGTCCACGCTGGACTCACAGGGCAAAGCTCTGCTGCAGTGGCCAGGCTCACCTCCGTGAACTGATTGCTCAGGGTGGGCCCTGAGTCATTCTTGAAGGTCTGGCTGACACAGAGATGCCTCTTGTTGCTGCTCTCGTCCCAGTTCTTCCAATAGCTCGCCTCCAGTTCAAGCAATTCTCCTGCCTCAGCCTCCAGAGAAGCTGAGATTACAGGCACCTGCCACTATGCCTGGCTAATTTTTGTATTTTTAGTAGAGACAGAGTTTCACCATGTTGGCCAGGCTGGTCTCAAACTCCTGACCTCGTGATCTGCCTGCCTCGGCCTCCCAAAGTGCTGGGATTGCAAGTGTGAGCCACTGCACCTGGCCTTGTTTCATTTTGTTTTGTTTATTATTTGTTTATTTTAGAGACAAGATCTCACTTTGTTGCCCAGGCTGGAATACAGTGGCACCATCTTGGCTCATTGCAACCTCTGCCTCCTGGCCTCAATCAACCCTGGATGAATAGACATAAGACTGAGGCTGAAGTGCCAGCCCTGCATCCATCCTATATGGCTATGCTACTGGGAGCAAGTTCATCTCTATGGGGATGAGCTCAGGGTACTCAGATCACCACTTGCCTGACTCTGGTGCTCTCTCTGGACATCCCACCTGGCCTGGGCACCCACCTTGTGGCTGAAGGCTGGCATCTGTGTGCAGTGGAGCTCGTGGCCCAGCTCCAGCCTGTAGGTGCTGTCTGAGCCGCTCTCTGTCTGCAGCTTCTGGCTGGTGCTGCACAGTGCACTGGTTGCTTTGCCTGAGCTGTGAGGATCGATCAAGAGAACGCTGCCCTCCTCTGCCAGGCAGCCCTCCATCAGGGCTCCAAGAAGAGGAGGGTCCAGCCCAGCTTGGCCTCAGCCATGTCCCCCTGGCCCTGTGCTCTCCTTCACCCATCACTCCATTAGAATCTGTCCATGGGGAGGCGTTAAGAGATGGATGAATGTCCCCTCAACAGACACATCTTTTTTTCGTTAATGAGCAGGTACTAAGTCCTACTCAGAGCCCACAGAAGGATTAATGGAAAATCCTGTGGTGACAGCATATTTTAGCTCACAGAGCCACAGCCGCAGGAAACAGGGCAGGCCCTGCCACCTCCACCTGCCCCACAGCCAGGCATATGGTGCCTTACCCAGGAGGCTGTACTGGATCCTCAGGGAGTTGGTCCAGAGCCAGCCCCGCCACTGCAGCAGACCAAGGGCACACAGCTCCGCCAACCATGGCACAAAGAGCTCAGCACCCAGGGCGGCCACCCACCGTCCATCCTCCTCCTTCCTTTCCAGCAGTGCTGCAGGGACAGAGAAGAGGCAGGTGAAAGGCTCAGCCCCCAGGGACCAACACTCCCAGCCCCAGGCAAAGAGGGGACTTGGGAATACCTCAGTGGCCTGGGGGTTGGGGGCTCCTTGAAGAGTCAACACCTGTGCCCTGCACAACAGGCCACAGACAGGCCTGATCATGGCTCACTGCAGCCTTGACCTCCCAGGCTCAGTCAATCCTCCCACCTCAGCCTCCCAAATAGCTGGTACTACAGACATGTGCCACCACATTGGCTAATTTGTGTGTGTGTGTGTGTGTGTGTGTGTGTGTGTGTGTATATATATATACACACACACATATATATATATATATATTTTTTTTTTGTATAAACAGGTGTCTCACTATGTGGCCCCCGCTGGTCTTGAACTCCTGAGCTTAAGCAATCCTCCTGCCTTGGCTTCCCAAAGTGCTGGGATTATAGGCATGGGACACTGTGCTTCGCCCAAAAACAAAGTAGAACGAGGCTGGGTGCAGTGGCTCATCCCTGCAATCCCAGTACCTTGGGAGGCCAAGGCAGGGAGATTTCCTGAGGTCAGGAGTTCAAGACCAGCATTGCCAACATGGGGAAACTGTCTCTACTAAAAATGCAAAATATATATATATATATATATATTAACTGGGTACAGTGGTGGGCACTTGTAATCCCAGCTACTCGGGAGGCTGAGGGAGGAGAATCACTTGAATCCAGGAGGCAGAGGCTGCAGTGAGCCAAGATTGCATCATTGCATCCAGTCCCAGCAACAGTGTGAGACTGTCTCAAAAAAAGAAAAAAATATATATAAGGAAACAAAATCAAATAGGACAGATGACAAAAGAATTAACCACACATCATGGGTTGTCAGGTAAATTTCACCTTGTGAAGCTTCTCCTTCTGCAACACTGAAGGTCATCCAGAACACACAGGTGGAACTGGGCCAGCTGTTATGACTCCCAAACACCCACATGAGGTGGTCAACAGCCACCGCTCCAAGTGCCCTCAGCCCCAGCTCCTGTCCTTACCTTGGAATCTTTCAGAACCCATAAGCCGCACACCCAGGTGCCACCACCCTGGCTCTGGCACAAGGACAGCACCTGCTCAGCCTGTGTGTGTTTGTTTTAAATGCCCAGTGTATTTTAGGTCAAAATGTTACATGTGTTTCTTATCATGGGTGAGAAGAAAAACAGCCCCAAACCCGCTATTTTAAGGATAGTGGGGGCAGCTGGAGGTTGGGGGAGGTTCTGGGGGCTTACACTGAACCTGCGTCTGTCCTTAGATGGGATGTTGATATTGAAAGGCTGGGTTGATGAGGACCATCAGGAGGCATTTGGCCCACACCCTGGCCTGGCCATGGAGGAGACAGGGCACAAGGGGTCTAATCTCGTACCTGTCACGTCGGCCTGGTCACTCAGCAGATGGCTCAGCAATGCGGAGAGGCCAGCTTGCTGCCCGCCTGCCACGTGAGGTTCCTTGTAAAGATGACAGGGCTGCCCCCGTCACCAGTTTCATCTCCAGCTGCAATTGGAACTGCTCAGCCTTGCCGACCATGGGTGGCTGCAGGTCACTCTAGCCCTGAAAAGGCCTTGGTGTCACCTGGAATGACAGGCTTGACCAGCAAGCCCAGGCATCACCACACAAGCTGGGACTAGAGAGAGGGTAAGAGACAGCCCAGCTAATGGCTTTCTATGCCGATCCTTCCCCAATTTTTGTTTTTTATTGAGATGGAATCTCATTCTGTCACCCAGGCTGGAATGCAGTGGCGAGATCCTGGTTCACTGCCACCTTTGCCTCCTGGGTTCAAGTGATTCTCCTGCCTCAGCCTCGCAAGTAGCTGGGATGACAGGCACATATCACAGTGCCCAGCTAATTTTTCTATTTTTAGTAGAGATGCAGTTTTGCCATGTTGACTGGGCTGGTCTCAAACTCCTGAGCCCAAGTGATCCACCCGCCTTGGCCTCCCAAAGTGCTGGGATTACAGGCGTGAGCCACTGTGCCCAGCCCTTCCTCAATTTTTTTGAACTCCAGATTTCTCAAAATTAGAAACCTGTGTTACAAACTCAGACATAAATACAAAGGACTCCTCTTCTCTCCTTGACTACCCCTCATTGGCTCCATCAGGAACTCAGTTGACCGTAGCTATGGAATGTGACTAGAATCAACCCCATCTGTCACCTCCGCTGAGCACCAGCTCCAGCCCTGCTCATAGTGCCTGTCTCACTGCAACATCCTCCCGGCTCTCCCGGCTCCCATCCCGCCGCTGGTAACTGATCTCCACATGGTGACCAGACACATCGAATGATGGCACACTAGCATTTCTTACAGTACAATCCAAAGTCCTTGAGAAGGCCAGTGAAGCCAGAACTTTGTTGGTCACTGGTGCAGACACTGGCAGGTGGGCCACGGGGACAGCTCACTACACTCCAAGGCCCTACAGGGGAGATCCTCTAGAAAAGCCATGAGCAACTACAAATACCATCTTTGATGGCCCCGCCAACCTGCGGACACACACCACACCCCCCTCTGGTAGCCACTAACTGGTCAGTTCACCCAAAAGATGTCAAAACAATACTCGCTATTACCAGACCGTCACTACTTAATGTTGTGTTTCCCTGATCCCCACCGCCATGTGTGTATCTGTGTACAGATGTATCTGTACATGGATGTGTGTAGATGTGTAGGTATACAGATATATGGAAATACATGGATATGTGTGTACAAATGTGTAGATATGGATGTGTGTGTACAGTGATGTGTGTGTACATGGATGTCTGCATGTAGACATATGAATGTGTATACGGATATGTGTGTGCGGATGTGTCTAAAGACGTGTGTATATACATGGATGTGTATATATGAACGTATGTGTGCAGATATGTCTACATGTGGATGTAAATGCTCGCAGCTTTTCCTGCTGACAGGCACATCCTAGCGCTGGCTTTCTCCAGTGTATATCGGAGGCTGCGCGGTGTGTCAGAGCTTCCTCAGGGTGCACGTGAGCAGGGTGAGCACAGAATTTCTCTCCCAAACAACACTTTGCAGTTAAAGAGAACACTAGTTACAAATGAGTCAGGTCGGCATGCGTAAACTGAGGCAACCCAGGACCCAAACCCCACACATCGGTGGAGGCGGTGCCAAGCAGAACACTTCCCACACCAACCTTAAATCCCATAAACTTTGAGACAAGTTGAACCCAAGCTCTCACAATTTGTATTCATGAGCTCATCTGCCTCAGTTTCCTCATCTTGTATGGGGTTACAAAGAGGACTTGAAGAAGGGACCTCCTGTCTGCTGGAATAGGCTCCAGAAAGTTACAGAGCGCCAGCTGTTGATGTAATTGTGATGAGTCTGGGGCGGATGGAACTAGAATTTCTCCAAAGGCAAATAAACATTCCAGGCTTCAGACAGCTCTATAGGGAGTGAGTGGCAGGAAGGTCCAAGGGGAGGTACAGGCAATCTGTGCTTGCACATTTAGCAAATACTGAGATGTTCAAGGGCCCCTGGGAGTTCTGGAAATGAGGCAGAAGTCTCAGCCATCAGACAGGTGGAGCTTTAGGAGGAAGACGGCTCTCCCCTGTCATGGGTCTTCTCCCCACCCAGGCTGACAGCACAGGTGGAAGTGAAGAGAGCATTTATGCAGCAAGGTATCCAGCCCCAGCTTCAGACACTCCACTCCAGGCCTGTAAGAAGACACTGGAAACAGAGGCAGAATCAGGAGGTCCACTGCTGAACGTGCCCAGTGGTCATGCCTGGCGGGATCAAGTCTAAAGCTACTACTTGTACCCTGACTGGAGTGCAGTGGCACGATCCCCACTCACTGCAACCTCTACCTTCCAGATTCAAGCAATTTGCCTGCCTCAGCCTCCTCAGAAGCTGAGCCTACAGGCGTGCACCATCACGCCCAGATAAGTTTTGTATTTTTAGTAGAGACAGGGTTTCACCTTCTTGGCCAGCCTGGTCCCAAATTCCTGACATCATGTGACCTTCCTGCCTCGGCCTCCCAACATGTGTATGCTTTTTGAAGTCACCGGTCTGCTTGAAAAGGGGATAGAATTTTAAATCTTCTCCCCAGGATAGAGGAGACAGACACAAAACTTCAACACAGTGACAAGGGCTTCAAGTGACTCATTAAGTTCCATCCAGGTACCCTTGGGTAAGAACCCTTGAAAAGCACCTACTAAGATAAAAATGAGCCTGGACAACATAGTAAGACCCATCTCCACAAAAAAAACCAGAAAAAAAAATAGAAGGGCATGATGGCACAGGCCTTAGTCCCAGCTACTTGGGAGGCTGAGGTAAGAGGATCGCATGGGCCCAGGGGTTCAAGGCTGCAGTGATCCAGGATCATGCCATTGCATAGAAGATCTTGTGAAAGAGAAAAGTGGGGGAGAGAGAAAAGGGGGGAAGAGAGGGGAAAACACATGGGGGAAAGGGAGGGAAAAGAGTAGGAAGAGGAAAAGAGAGGGAATAGAGGGAGGGAGAGAAAGGAAAGAAAAGAAAACAGGAAGAAAATAGAAAAGAAATGAGAAAAACATAAACCTTGTGGCCAGGGAATTCCACTGTTAAGAATTTACTCTGCAGAGAGAATGGTGTTCACCACAGAATAATTGTAAGAGAGGAAACCT